CAAGTAGCCCACAGCTCTTAACTACATTTAAAAGGCAGAGGCACAGCAGGGAGCCTGGTGAGACTGGGGACTCAAGCAGTCCCTGCTTCCCCCGGTCCTGACTGCTGTACCTCAAGGCAGGGATGCAGCAGTTGGGACCCAGCGTGAGTGGGGACTGCTGGAGTCCTTGCTTGCCCCAGGTTCCCCACTGCTTGAGTCCCTGCAGGGCTCTTACTATATTTAAAAGGCAGAGGTGCAGTGTCTGGGACCCAGCATAAGCTGGGACTGCTTCGGTCTCGGCTTGCGCCATTTCCCTCCCCCCCCTCCCCGAGCCTCTGCCTCCCCTGTCCCACCATGGAGACAGTGTGGGGGAAACTGGCTTTTCAGCCAGCTCCCCCAGCACCGGCTCCTACTCCCCACTTTTCCTACCTCTGATACAGAGGCAGCAGGTGGGGGGAAGGAGCGACTAGCTGAGTAGTGGCTTACTGGGTAGTCAACTAGTCGCTTACATCCCTACTCCAAAATAGATAACATTTGGAGAGTTTACATAAATACTAAGACTACAATATAAAGTGTAAGGTGACTGTCACCCCACAGGACTTTGGAAGAAGTCTACAAAAAAGGAACAAAAAAAAGTAATACCTGTAACAATAGCTCCATGGAGATCAGCTTTTAGCAATTTGGCCTGGATCATCTGTGGTTGTCTTAAAAAAAATACATAAGTTAAAAACTGATTTACAAGAAATTTGTTTATGGTGTTAAAAGTCAGTACATATTTGTATGTACAAAAATATACAACATGTTTTATAATTGTGATTATACTACAATAGTCTTTGAAAGACCAATCTTAAATTTTTTAAAATAAACTCAACTTACGCATCTGGTCTGAGCCCATTACACAGATCCCTGATGTACTGTTTCCAGAGTTCATGCAACGGCAGAAACAACTCATATCTACAATAGTCAGCACGAGACAAGACAGAATATACAATATCTTTACAGAGGTCTGCAAGATACAACTACTAAACAAACTACAATATACATGCAAAGTTAGAACTTGTTACTATGAGTATCCCATGAAGTCATTAGCTATATAACGTTCCAAAATAAGGTTCTCTCTAAAAAATGCACGTACATTTTACATGCTTAGAAACTACTGTTCTGTTTGCAACCATAGTTGGGAAATGAAGTAAAGTGAATGCATTTTAATAAGAGCATTTAATGCACTGTGAGATACTAAGTCTGGTCACTGTCATTCTAATCTTACTAGAGATCTGTGGCCCCATATAGTAATTTGATATTGACTTCTCACCATATCAAGATTTACAAGCACAGAAAGGCAGCAATGCTAATGATTTTCACAGTGCACAGTAGATAGCTGTAAAATATTAATAAAAAAAACAAAACAAAACTGTCCTTGCATTGCAAGTGTCATGACAAACAGAGAATGAAATTATCTGAACAAAAGATTAAAAGTTCTTCTAATTAATAACTGTTAACACCAATACATACATGCTGCTGCATGTACAGGCAGTCCCCGACTTACGCGGATCCGACTTATGTCCTCGCGGTCCTGCCGCCCGTGTACTCTGGGGCTTTGCTCTGCGTCTCCCTGGTCTGTAGACCAGGAAGATGCAGAGCAAAGCCGCAGA